GGAATCCATCTCATTAGTAAAACTGGAGTGCATTTATGAGCATATGTGGGTTTGTGGATGAACTCTGTGGAGTGTTGTTTTTGTTAGACTGGGAGGTCAAATCTGTTTTCTCATCAGCATTTAGAAGTTGAGCTGTATGTGTATACAAGCTGTGTGTGTATAGGGCTCCCTCATCTTGGGATGAGCTTGTGGACAAGAAGGACTTAGGAAGAAATTATCCAAGAAGTGTTCTTCAGCTGATTCCTAATTGCTGTGTCCTGCCCAGGATTATGTGAAATCTAGAAGCTAACTGAGCAAATCAGTGGATTTCTGCTCATCAAAGTTTCGAAAATTTCTGAAAAATTTAAAATGCATGCAAACTAATGTATTTAGGGTGTTTTACTCATTCATTAGAATCAAGTAGTCGTCATTTACTGTATGTCTTACAGTGTGTCAGGCAGAGTCCAGGAATAACATGGACTCTGTTCTCCAGAAACTTAGAGGAAAGTCAACAAATCAGTGCCAGCTAGGTTCAGTGGCTACTCAGGATGTTGAGACAGGAAGACAGCAAGTGTGGAGCTAGCCTGGACTATGTAAAAATCTGTGTCTAAAAAAATGAAGAAAAAATGGACTAGTGTCTCCAACATTGTCCAAGAAGTCTTGTGTGACACAGATTTCCTAAAAGAGACTATGTTTAGAACTGTGTGTACCAAGAATGTCACAGAGGTGAGAGACAAAAGCGTTAATGACTGAAGTATACAGTTCTCTAGGTGAAGAAGAAATGACATTTCCCTAGGTAGACATAGCAGCATGCAGAGCATGTGTTGTGCCCCATTACGAAAAACTCAGTTTTTTCTTCTAAATATTGTTTTTTTAAACAAGTATGGTTTTCTGCTTAATAAATCAGCGTAAACTTAATGAGGTAAGACAATGATTTATTTATCTTGTGCTTCTGTGGTTTGTCAGTATAGGCTGATCTTCACTGAGTGGCTCCTCTGGTCCTAGCTGAACTTAGACGTGTGTATGTGGTCAGTTACCAGTCCATGCACCTCAGCTTCCAAGAGGAGGAAGCCAGCTAGGATGACTAACAGTATGACCCACCTTTATATGATTCCTTAGGATGTCCTGGCTTGTTTACATAGCAGCTTGCAGATTTCCAAGATTGAGGGTGACCATGAGCCCCGTCTCTCAAAATATTTAACACAAGGGCTGGAGAGATGGCTCAGAGGTTAAGAGCACAGAATGCTCTTCCAAAGGTCCTGAGTTCAATTCCCAGAAACCATATGGTGGCTCACAATCATCTGCAATGAGATCTGGTGCCCTCTTCTGGCCTGCAGGCATACATGCAGCCAGAACACTATGTATAATAAATATATAAATCTTTTAAACAATTTAACTTAATAATAGATCAGAATTGATTTTGCACATTCTCTTAGCCAAAGGAATCTGGGAGGCAGCTCACACAGAAGACTTCACTGTTTTTCTTTTCTCTTTCTTTCTTCCTTTCTTTTTATTTTATTTATTTATTTTTTTTGGTAACCAAGGAAATTTCAAAATCACATTGAAACAGTGTGTGGATACTGAAGTTAAATGTTGTTGTCTTTTTTTGCAAGGCATCACAGCCATGGAGAACCATTGCAACATTTCAAATAGAGAATTGGTGTAACTGAACTTAGGTTATAGACAGTGCTTTTGTAGGATTCTGAAAACAGAGTCATTAGGACAAAGAGAGAAATGAGAAGGTCTATTTCTAACCTGATAATGAGATAAGCATCTGAAGAACATGAGACATGGTGACTTTCAGTGGTAAAGAGCACAACACCAAGGAAGTAGATACTGATGAATATGGAGATCCAGGGAATAAGGGGTCCAAAAAGTACAGTGTGACTTTAATATTCTGAAGATGTAACTCAGCAACCATGAAGTTATTCAAAGAGGCAGAAAATCTTGGATAAGTTATAGGTTTAAGTTGGTAGGTGTTGATTTCAGTTTTGGGCATACTGAGTCCAATCTAATATGTTTGTGTTTAGTGAGCACAAAATCCCGCACATACAGGCAGCAGGCAAGACCATAGCAATACATGGCATCACTTGGGAAGATTTTGCATGAGGAGAAAGAATGAAGCAAACACTGCAGGAAGTGTTACATTTCAAAGGGTGGATGGAGGGAGAAGATATTATATAAAACAACAAGAAGTGATGGCAAAAAACGGTGATGCAAATGCAGGACAGAGCAATGTGTTAAGAGCTGGGGAGGAGGAGAAATGGTTTGAGTCCAATAGCAAGATGGCTAACTAATAATCCTGGGGAATTATTGATGATCCATTTCAAACCTGGTGTGAGTGAAATGGAGGAAGCCAAAGTGGTGGGGCAAGGAGGACAAGACTCTGGGAGGTAGGTAAAGAAATTCAGTCGTAGCGAGAAGCCACTCAGCTATAAAGCAAGAGAGAGTGAGCATGTGTGTGGAGGAGTAAGCTGGTCGAAATGAGGAGAGTTTAAAGAAGAAAACAGTGTTCTATAGATACATGTTGAGTTCGTTTCTATTTCACATTCTAAAATAACCTAGAGCTACTCAAAATTAACTAACCCCCTTTCCTCCCAAAGACAAGGCAGTTTACATTCTTGAATACAAATATCTCTGTCTGCTTCATCTCCCCCAGGAGTCAGGGTTTTCATCTCATGTTAACATGGAAGGGTATGGCTCACTCCCTTTAGAGTCATGGCAGTGGGTCTGCCTGCCTTTCAAATCACTGGTCTTTCTGGAGTCCTGGAAGTACCTGTGGTTTCAAATAGGAGGCTAAGGACTGCATTGGCTGTGGGGTAATGGGAATCTTAGGCTCTGTCTACTTATGTAAGTGGGACTTGGTAGATCTTTGTACCAGTAAGTAGAAAGTAGAAAGCCATAATGTTTTCATGAAAATGAGTGGCTTTGTGTCTGGTTTTTTTTACAGTTTATTTTCAAAAATACTCTCAACTTCTTGAAGAAAAAAAAGCTATAGGAGATCTAACTCACAAAGAATTGAATTGCACAAAAGACAATCCACCAATGGATGGTAAGAATTAAAGCATGTTTAATTTTGTTTGCTTCCTCTAGAGTGTAATGGTCTCACATAAATCTTTCTTTACTTCCTTCCTACATTCATCCCTTCCTTCATTCCTTCCGTCCTTCCTTTCTTTGTTCCTTCCATTTATACTTATTGTTCTCTCATACACTGCATCCCAGCCACAGTTTCCTCTCCCTCCACTCCTCCCAGTTCTCTTCCCCATCTCCTCTCTCCCCTAGATCCACTTCTCTGTTTCCCTTCATAAGAGAGCAGGTCTCCAAAGGGATGTCAACCAAACACAGCACAGAAATATATAACAAGACTAGGCACACGCCCTCATATCAAGGCTGACCAAGGCAACCCAGTGGGAGGAACACATCCCAAGAACAGGTAAGAGTCAGAGACACCCCCACTCCCACTCTTAGGATCCCACAAGAATACCAAGCTAACAATCATAACATATATGCAGCCTGGTGTCCTCGACCCCTTTGGCTCCTAAAATCCTTTCCCCTCTTCTGCAGGGTTGCCCAAGCTCTGTCTAATGTTTGGTTGTGGGTCTCTGCATTTGCTCCCATCAGTTGCTGGATGAAGCCTCTCTGATGACAAATAGGGTAGCCACCAGTCTATGAGTATAGTGGAATGTTGTTAGAAATCAGTTCATTGACTTCTGTTTGTATGTTTTGTTTTTATGTTTATCTCTGCTCTAGGTCTCTGAGCCATTACATT